GTGGCTAGGCATGCTTGCCACTGGCATACCAGCTAAAGCTGATAAAACTCATGGGGGCCCTTGTGTTTCCAATGATTGTACTAGACCTGTAGATTCTTCAGACTGTGAACCGGATCCTTTACAAGAAGTGGAACCCCTTCTGGAATGGGTTAAAGATGGAGTTGAACCACCTAGGAACAATAATTCCAGATCCAACACGTGTCTTGCTATTTGTGTTGGGCCACTGATATATTGGGACAGCTCCATGACTACAACTGCTTTAGACAATACGGTCATGGCATGGATACTAAAATTGGGACAATCATCCTAGGGGTTTCAATCACTCTGTCCCAGGCTATTTTAATAATCAGGATAGGAGGTGTCCTAGCAGATCAAAGTGTAAACATCCAGGCTCCCAAACACTCCATACTGCTACCCCACCAAATTGGATACCAGAAAGGGAGATGGAATTCCTATAAACTACGGTGACTCCCTTCTTGTCTATGGTGATTCTGTACTGAATAAAAGGGCATATATATAGGAAAGGGTAACTCTTTCATCTCCTACAATTAGTCTTGATGAGAACAAGCCAGGTCAGCCATCTGACTAGTTCTCAAAACATGGATACTAGAGATTTTATTGTGGGCCAATCAGGCATTCTGTAACAGCATTTGCAGGTCAGAAATCTTTCAGCTGGGTGAATAGCCAGAAAGAGGGAAGGGAGGGAGGAAGGAAGAGGCAAATGATATTGTATCAGACTTCTCCATAGCTATCTTGTTCAAATCCCAGTGCCATGTATCTCACCACTGCAGGGGTGGCTAACACTTGATCTATAAAATGCATGTAGTTTCCCAGGGCCCAAATGCTCCCTCAGCACTTCACCTCCACCCCCAAATCTCAGAAAGTCTTCTTGTACCCTATGAAGGAGTGGGAGGCCATTTTGCTGTATTCTGAAGTTCCTTTAGCACCTTTGTGGTCTCCTACATTCCAATTATTTTAATACTCAGAAAACTGGTCATTAGAGGGTGAAGAAGGCTTTGTAAATACAAAAATGTTTATTGTAAGAATATTTTTGGGGAAGTGGGGGAACATGTATGGCCTTCCAAGATCCCACAATAGTCACATGGGGCTGCTAGATATCTAGAGATTGCTGATTTTTGCCCTACTGTTACCACTCCTACAAGCTCAATGCCATCCGCCTTCATTATTAGAATATCACCCATGCACAGACTCAAAGCCCTCATGGAGACAGCAACAATAATTTTTGTTAAAATTACAACACCTTGCACAAAAAGACTTTTTGAAACCAGTATTACATCACTTTAACATAACTAATCAGCTAACTGGATCCCATTCTTGGGGCTCTGCTTGAGCCCTTTGAACTACCTTGGTTTTCTATTCATGGAAGTACAAAAGAGTTGCCTTCCCTCTCTTAAAATGCAAATATCTGTCCTTCATTTTTGTAATAATCCTAAAGAACCTTGCGCAAAGAGACACTAATTCTAGCAAAGGGCTCAGGACGGATGTTATTGGTCAGCCATGAGGTGGATTCTTTGCACCAACTGCAGATGGAAGCATCCAGTCTCTCTCTGTGTGTCTCCCTCTGCTGTTTTTGCTGTGGTAGCTAAAGTGCAATATAGACTTGATGGTAAATTTAAAATCCTCAACTGCTTCTTGCTCTCCTGGCTGCATCAGCTTTGTTAGGCTGGATGTCTGGGTCTGGGTCACAGCCTGCAACGACCCCTTGACTTCAGAGGTCTACCTCAAGTTGCAAACCACAGCCCACCTCAAGGCTTGTGCCTCCGATTGGACAACTCCACAACAAATAACTTGAAAGTAAGACTTGGCTAGAAGCCTACTGCCAATTTATAGTTGCGTAAGTATTGGTGACATGTTGTCACTCATTAAGGATGTGCCGATTACATTGCTGGCTATGTGCCCAATTGCACAACTGGCTGTGTGCCCAGGAATGCAAACAGTACCTCATGAATGAGCAACAATTTGCCACCAAGAATTGCATGATTTCCCATTTATAGGCATATATCAGCAGTAAGATTACACCCAGTGTGTTTCTTTTCCCAAATTATATCATGGACGTTACTGATTAATATCATGGGCATTACTGATTTTGTATGATGATGTGGCACAGCTTAAAGGGGTGCCTCTTTCAGGCTGGGAAATATGTTTATCAGGAACAAATTTCAGTTTGTTGCTGATAAAATACAATTATTCCACAGAAGCTCTGACCTGAAGAACAATATTGCAATAGGTGAAGCAACTGAGTAATGATTGTGTACAGTGCAAGAGATGACTGCTTCTGGCTTTCTTCTCTTGCAAGAAGTCCATTTCTTGTCAATCAACAGGTATCAGAAACAGTCATGGCAGACTGAGAATAGAAAGAGTTTAAGACTGAGACCTAAACATATTGTCCACTTTGAAGGTTGCTAAGTATTTTGGGGCAACAGCAGTTTCTCAACTGAACCCACCTCACAAGCTTATTGTGAGGTTAACCTCAATATCCTCTCCCTTTTTTTTTGATGAAGCTGGGATGAAGATGTAACAAATAACGTTTTCAAAATAATACCTCTTGGAAGGATGGTCATGCAAGTTTAAAACTAGTCACAGAAATGAATATCACCAATGGCCTGATAGCTAAATCCTCTAATAATTGTTTAAAATTAAGTTAAATTGCATTCAGTAGGCCTAGAATAGTTGATACAAGTTTCTAGCATATGAAAGTTTGAACTAGTTGTTAGTCCCATTGATTCTTTGGATGCACCCTAATAGGGACAAATAATTGGATTTAGGCCCAAATTTGTTTGTCCTTTTATAATGTAAACACAAGATTTATATTCACTTGACCGAATTGCTTTAAAAGTGCTGCTATTCCATTTTCTATTGCCCAGTTATGTTCACACATGACACAAAAGACTCAAGTATGCTTTTTGTTCTCATGTGTGAAAAGATTCTGTAATGTGTTTTTCCGATGGGATGCTGATCTGCGTAGGCTTTGAGATCATATCTCTTCATGCTGCTTAAGATTCCATCTGTTTAATATTAAAGGAAAAACTTTTGAACAAGGATTTCTGGAAACAGAAGAATTAGAGTGAAAGTTAATCATATACTGTGCTGATTGTGTGACAGAGGTGTACACATGAAACATTACGGACACAATTTGTTCTTTCATTGGTACAGATATAGGTTCTTAGTGAGAGCCTGTATGGTCTAGTGGATAGAGTTTTGGACCAGGACCTGAGAGAATTGAGCTAAAAGCCCTGCTTAGCCGGAAAACTCACTGGGTGATAGCGATGGTGAACCAGTCTTTGAACATTGCATGTTCAGGTTACCATAAATAAAAAATGACGTGCTGGTGTGTTTGTAAATATTCTTGACAAAGAATAGACATGCCCCAGGATGACAGTGGTATTTTGGGATCTGTAAAACACACTTTAAAAAAAAAATCAACATGCAAATATTTCCCATCTCTGGTTCTTGGAAACTAATTGATATAGCCAGTTAATTTAAGGTTCTGAATCCTTTCCTGTGTAATCAACTCAAGGTACTTTGAGAAACAGTAGAGACATTGCTGTGCTTTAATAATAAAATACATGAAATCAGGTCTGCATGTCCAAGCAAAAAAGAAATAAGTGCATAGGCAAGGCCACAGAAATAAATTGCAGATGAGGTTATGGCTAATCTAATAGTTACATCCAAGCAAGGCAGAAATTCATGCACACAGCCAAGAAGTTGAGAATGTCTGAGCCAGCAACAGACATTCCTGTGTATATTCAGACATTTAATGAAGCTTGTACCTCTTGCAAAAGGAGCTGGTTTTCTTCCCTCCTAAGCGAGGCCAAATAAATAAATCGGCACAGTCTTCCAATACCTCATTAATGTACGTCTAAGACAATATGTATAACAGTGTTTCTCAAATTGGTACTCTTGAGATTTGTTGCATAACAAAATCCAATCCCCCTATCGAGCCAGCAACTGACTACAAGGGGTGATGGGACATCCCAACTTGAAGGATGTCAGTGGATAGATTGCACTACAAATATATTTACTGGTTTTCAAATTTTAAGTTATTTAGTATATGTGGCTGAAACTGAAATACATGGTTTCTTTAATAAAAAAAATCATACTGGATTTCTGTTTTAACTTTCTGGTTTTTTAAGGCTCAAACTTGTTGAAATGTGTGATGTTGAAGACAAATCAGATCTGTTTTTAAAGTGAAAACCAATGTTTGGAGTATGTGTTGGGGGGTCAGATTGGTGCAGGGATGATTCACCCTTTCAATGCACTGTTTCCATATTTTAAACTACTCAACTGAAGCAAAAAGCATATAAGTGCCATATGTGGAAGCTACTTGTTTAAGACATGCTTTCTGTGTAGTTAATGTACAGAAGCAGAAATACATAAATGGAATTAACTAATCACAGTGGCAGCCCTAATGCATTAGCCGTTGAAAAACTGCTAGGACCCCATTAATGTCCAAATAGGTAGCCTGAGATACTGACTCACTTCATACAAACTCCTGAGTAGTCATGGCAAAAAATGTTCTATTTCAATTGACTTAAAGTTCATTTCTGAACATTTAAATTAATCAGCACTTTTGTGTATTTGATTTGGCAACAAGACCTTATAATTTACTTGACTAATTTACAGCAACAACGAAGCTGCATGGTTTCGATTTCAAATATTTGAATTCATTGGAGAACTGTGTGTTGAATATATTTGAATAAATAACCCAGGCAGGGAAACTTGAATCTGCCTCCAGATATTCAGAAAAGAAGAAAAGTGAGTATATTAACTGAAGGAACTATAGAGAATTATTCAGTCATGTGAATGAAATGTGCTGTTGCTCTCTGAGACAAGGCTGTTCATTGTATGCTTCATTGGCCGATCCCAACTAATTTGAATAAAGCATTTTTCTTCAATGCCCCCTCCTGTTACTTTAATTCTCGATTCTTCCCCCATCCGCCAGTCAAACATTAATTGCTGATTGCTTAATTTTCTTCCAGCTTCAGCACCACAGTCAGATGAAGGGTCTGATATAGATTCTGAGCCTGATTTGCCGTTAAAGAGAAAGCAACGTCGTAGTAGAACAACCTTCACAGCTGAACAATTAGAAGAGCTGGAAAGAGCTTTTGAGAGGACCCACTACCCTGATATTTACACCCGGGAAGAACTTGCACAAAGAGCTAAACTCACTGAAGCTCGGGTCCAGGTGAATATGCTACTTAAACTCTGCAAGTAATCCTTTTTGTACTTAGTTGAGAGAGAGGATGAGCAGAAATGCAATTGCTATTTTTCATCCGTCTGCCTGTGACTAATTGTGTGTGTGCATGTGTGTATGTGTGTGTAGAACAAGTTATATGCCAAGGACTGAGTGAACAAGGAATTCTGCAATCGTTATTATGAGGTTTCCTTCTCTTTGTCCCATTAGATAAACCTCAAGTGACAGTGGTTTTCTTGTAGAACTACAAATGGGAAGGTAGTCTAAGCAAGAGGGAACAACCAGTGATGAAGCAGAGGGATGGGCAGGAGGTTCTGGGGAAGATATAATGGGTGACTTCACTAGCTCTTCATTAGTTTTCTTAATTTTAAGTCACTTACACCTTGACTTCTACTTTTCCCCACTTGTTGAGGGGGTCATATGTATGTCTACTCATACAAAGCTGTTTTACAAAGGGTTTTCGTTAGTTTTGTTAATTTTAAGTCACTTACCCCTTGAATTCTACTTTTCCCCACTTGTTGAGGGGATCATATGTATGCGTGCCTACTCATACAAAGCTGTTTTACAAAGGGTAAGTGAATGCATGATGACCAGGACTAGTGGTGAGAGCAGGTGTAATCATGCACCCTTGCCATATGATCATGTGGAAAAATAAAAAGAACGTGGCTGTGAGGACTGCCAAATGTAGTTTTGGAAGTACTAGAATGCCAAGTACCAATGATGAGTTTTGCTACAGGACCTGAAATGGGCTTGTACATGGAGTTCCTACCCTATTCAAGGTAACTTCCTGAACTTCTGAACAGAGCTGAAATCGTAAGATTTGTTTGACTTATTTGACTTTTGCTTATACAAGAAATATACTGAAGTTTCACTACTTTCATAGTTCTTGAAACTCAAGTTTGAAAAAAATGCCTCCATCTCAAATGATTTTAAAGCATTAAAACTGAGCAATACTGAGGATGTCTAGAACATGATCCTTGTGGCAGAGCTCTTGGAAATCCTAGCACAAAGATCACTTAGACTTTTCAAAGCCCAATTTCCAATTATCCCTAAAGTTTACCAATTAGTACTTTCAAAAACACATCTTTTATTTTTTTTTCAATTTCAAATCTTTGCTCACAGTTGGATCTGTGTTTGGTCTACGGCACAGTCAGACAGAAAGTGCATAGGAATCTAGTGAAAAATCACTAGGTAATTCACACAATGGCTCTCAACATTTTGTATCATTTATCCCATCAGTCTCTCTTATCAGAAATTTAGGCTCATGATGGAATCAGAAAGTCCACTTGTTCAGTGAAGGATGCTTATGTTTAGATTCTGTTATTACACCCATCATTTACAGTAAGTTTTAAGGATATTAAAAATTGCATTAGAATTGCTGGGAACCAGCACAAAGAGAAGAACAATAGTAACTCTGTTGGATCAATAGTAACTCTGTTGGATCACTCATAAGAGGAGCAAACACATTTTTATTAGTTAATTATGAAACCCCTGTGCCACATCTAAGGAGCGTAGGGTGGGGAACCAGACTAAATTGTGAGCACAAATATAGTGCAAGCTGGAAAAAAAATTCTGGACTCAGCATGTGTTCTGACCTCTCTTGTTCTGAAATGCTATATAAGCAAATTGTGAGCCAGTTTTGCATGTGGCCCACTGATGGACCTCAATGGTCTATTGACAAAGTAGATGTCATACATTTACCCCAGCACCTGGCCAGTACTAGTCTTCTTGCTGTTGCCTCCTCTCAGAAGATGAATGCCATCATGGCCATCTTGACTTTGGATGCAACACCTCTAAACTGCTGGATAGTTCAGTGGTTTAAGTAGCTGGCTGTGGAGCCAGAGGCTGGAAGTTTGATTCCCCACTGTGCCTCCTTGACAGGGGCTGGTCTCAATGATCCATAGGGTCCCTTCCAGCTCAGCAATTCTAAGATTATTATTATTGTTAGATTATTATTAAACCATAATGCTGTGTTGCAGACAAGCCAATATCATAGGCTCCTTGGCCAATAGATTCTTCAGCTGTAGTGTATGAGCTAGAAGAAATACTGATCTATAGTACTACATTAAAGCCAATCTAAAGTAAGCATGCATAAACTGCATTTTGAAACAAATTTAGTGGGGGCATGGTACCATTATCCAAACAAGATTGTTTAAAAGGCAAATACTGCAAGAAAGATGCTTTTCCTGAACAATTTCTTGCCAATAAATTTAACGGATGCATGCCTTTTCAAAAAAATAATAATTTAGAGATCTAAGCACATGTGTGAAGAAGGATCTAATTCTAAACACATACATGAAAAGAAAGAGGAAAAAGAGATACACAGAGAAAGGTAACTAATTAGGAGTACACTCTTTCTTGCACACACAGTTCTGGGCAGAGTGAGCTTTAAAGGCAACAATGAATGTTCATATTTTTCTAAAGCAGTGACCCACACGTGCAAGAAAAGCAGAAGTCTCATTAACATAACAGCTGTCTTAATGTGGCTTTAACCCTGTGACTTTTTACATTCCTTGTGGCTTCCTGGAGTTCCCTTGAGACACATCTTGTCTCACACTCAAGTCTGTGATCTACAACCTAGCAAATTCCCTACTATGTTGAACATATGGACCTTTTGCTGAAAACAGTATGGCAAAAGGAAGGGGTGGGGAGGGAAGGACAGTCAACCAACGTTTCAGACATTAGGAAAAACAAGTCTCCTGGGAATTTAAGTGAACCAACTTGTGGGCATTTGTAAAAAGTTGTCCATACTTTATATAACTGCAATAGAGAGCTCTAAAAAGATTGCTAGTAGCTGCAGCAATCACAGCTTCTCTAGTTCCCCGGCAGGATGTATCTGTGCCGATAGATCTCTATAAGCCTTAGTTCTATGCTAAGAAAATCCTTAATCTGCACTAAGAAAAAAAATATTCAAACTTTATGTAAAGAAGTCTAATTTATATTGTATAATAATAATAATTATGTACCATCAAGCCAGTTTTGACTTATGACAACTCTTGTCTAGGTAGAGAATACACAGATACTATTCCTTTTTCATGGGTTTGCCCTGGAACTTTGCAGCTTGCTAAAGGCCACACAAGCTGGTGGTACTCGCAGGAAGCTTGGGGGTGTGTGAATGGAACTCTCATCCGCTGGTTCCACAGCCAGATGCATAAACCACTGAGCTGTCTAGCCAGCATGGGTTTTATTAACCTTTCTCTGGATTTATGGAGAAGTATATATAAACTGGGAGTTCATAGATATGTATAGAACTAATAGTAGGCATACAAGTAGGTTAGAAAAAATGTGCTCAAATTGTTAAATATGAGAAGTGCTGTTATTAAGTCTCTGCCACGGCCTTCTGCATATAATAGCCAGATGAGTTGGGATTATAGCAGTTGTAGCCTAACCGATCTGAAAAGTGCCAGGTTGAAATTGCTGTTCCATCTACTAGCTTCTTCTTTTCCATTCCTTTCAGTTCTCTTCAGTTCCTTCTAGTTTCTCTCTGGTCTTATACCAGCAATGAACAATATAAAATAGATGGGCATTTTTTCATTTGCTCGTAACAAAAGTGTTCCTTATGCCATTGTAAGGAAAACACAGGGAAGTCGGAGGCAGGAAATGGGAATTGGCAGTAATATGCCGAAAAACCAGGCCATTGTTTTAAGACAAGATCACAAATCAAGTCAAGGGCATCTTTCTCAGTCTTCATGGCTATAAAACAGACACCAGTTTAAGAAGTTTGTTGGAGCTCCAAAGGCAGGCAAGAGATGTTCAGCAGAACTGCAGAAGTTCTTAACAGAACATTTCACCCAGAGCTTGGAAGTATTGCAAATAATGAAGTTACTTATAAAGATTTCTCTTCCCCCTTTCTTTCGCTTTGCTTTCTTTCTGTAATGAGAACATAACAAAGAATTTTAAAAGAAAGGAAATAAGTAAAGATAACACTGTGACATATTTATGTAATGAATAACAGATTCTGTTATGCGCTATCAAGTTGGAACTGCCTTATAAACACTCTAATAGGGTTTTCAAGGTAAGTGAGAATTGGAACTGCCTTATAGACACTCTAATAGGGTTGAGATATTTAAGGAGTGGTTTTTGTTCCCACCCTCCCTCTGGCCGACTAGGCATTTGAATCCAGGTGCCCTGAGTTGTAGAAGTCTGTTCCTCTGTCCACTACACCACACAGAGTTACTTTCTAGTTACTTATAAAAGGCACTTTAAAGCAGAATTGTTCATGTTTCATGCTATTTTGTCATCAGGTTTATTTTTTTTTAAAAAAAGGAATGGAAACTAATGAAGAAAGAATAACACAGCATCTCAACACCTAGTGGTGTTCATGTAAGGTTTGCAGTACTTGCTGCAGCTAATTGCACCTACTGTAGTTAACAAGGTTCAAAGGTTCATCTCCACTGTGCAGTCTGATGCACGACCAAGGAAGTGACAGAGATGCACCGTAGCAACTTGTCATTTACCTGCAATTAACTGCAGCAAGTTACATAAACCTTACATGAACACCAATATTGTTCTGGCAAATTAGTTTTAAACATTTGGGTAATGTGAGTAAGCAAAGGAGTTCTTTTTTGGGGGGGTTGTCAAAAATTAGATAATGAAGCATTTCAAAAAAGGTACACTTGATTTTACTCTTGAAGTCTAACAGTATTGTGGAATATTTTAAATTTCATTAGACAATGTAGGATGGAAGACTATAAGCGAAAATATGGCTGAAATTTGAAAGCTAACTCATTTTGCAGTTGAAAAGGTAGCCAGGTCAGAGAGAATCATCCACAGCTACAGAACTACAAAGCCACACAAATTTCTGAGTTAAACAACTATCCATATCCTTGCAATATGGGTGGTGGTGGGGGGAGACAACATGTCAGGCAGTTCGATGTTTAAAGAATCAGCCGATAGAACTAAAAGAAGGCTGTAAGAACTTCTCAAAAATAAATGCCTACACATGTTTGTACCAGTATGATACAGACACCTGCATAGCGAGGTTGGGAAACCAAAAAGGGCTGGATTGCGTCCCCAAGAAGGCTGGATTCATCAAAAGAGCCTGAGGCGCCCCTGAGGATTATAGTTACTTCACTTAGGATCTTCAAGGAAAGCACAGAAGCCTATTACTGGAGATTCTGGAAAGAGTAGTAAAACCTGATATAATTCCATCATTGGCAGAAGTGAGTAGAAACTCTACGCTTGAGCAGGCACTTCAAGACTGGAAGAAGGAGCAGATGTCCATAGTTTAAGCAAAATAAATAACTTTTTTATGGAATTCTGGAGGTAATGAGAAGACCTCATGACTTTAGAAAAAGATAGGAGAGAGGCTTAAGTAGACAAAGCTACTTAAATCTTGAAAACTCCTGGCCCATTTTTACTCAAGGGAAGAAATGACCAACAAGTTGTGGTGTCTCATAAAGAGGAGATTGAGGTAGACCAGCTGTTTTCTTGTCTCAAGAAAATAAAATCAAACTGACCAGGGTTATGCATCAGTGAAAGAAACCCAAATATGATTATTTGGCTTTAGTTCCCCAACAGTTTGCCCTAAGTTCTTATTAACTTCAACAGAGTTTTATTCATTCCCTATATTCTACCAACTAGCTGAGCAGCCATTTCTTGATTTTCCCATGTTCATTTATGCTTAATTAGAGCCATATATGCTGCACAAAGTTACAGTCCTGAGGCATATTTTCCAGTATGAAGGATAAAATCTATGAAGTCACTAGCTGTGTAAACATTTTAATCTAGGATTTTTCTTTTAAGGGAACATCTGTACCACTAAAATAAAATAAAATAAAATGAAGGAAATGTAATGATGAGTAAACTTCCACCTCCCATACATCTTTTAATTATTCTCTTGCTTCCAAAATAATAATTTAAATTAGGCAAAGCCCCAGTTGCTCTGACTTCAGTACAGTCCTAACTTAGTACTTGGATTGTGTACATGCATGTGTGGAAGAATGCCTGTATTTTTATATGTATTTTGAGTGCCTAAGTCAAAAGTGAGGACATTTCAGTCTCTCTTTCTTTCTGCTTTGTTCCCTTTTTCTTTCTTTCTGATGCAGTAGTGCTACAGTATTACTTCCATAAAAGACAACTTCCTTTGTCTCTGCCCATCCAAGGGAAGAAGGAGGGAAGCCCTCCTGCTCTTCCAGTTACTATAAGCATTTGCATTTCCCTGATGTTTTTCTCCCACCCACCCACCTGGATTTTTGGAAACACATGGATGTAGAAATGGGTCAGCTCAGACTATTTCCAAAAAGGGCCTAGGGCAAATTGGGCCCTGATCTGTATTCCCTAATTTGAGAACTGATCAAACTACACACAGCTCTACTGGCAAATATTCAGCATTCTATTTCACAGTGAAAGATGCTGAGAATTTTAAAAGTGGAAACTATCTTCAATTCTGTTGCAAGGAATATCCAAGAACAATAGCCACCTACAAATGTTTAAGAATTGGTGCAAAACTACTTTTTGCCTGAGCCAGTTATTTCAGTTCTGAAATAATTTGCATAGAATATTTTTAATATGGAAGCCTCATGTTTTTTTTTTTAAATCAACACCAGGGCTTCCTGTTTAAGTGCAAGCCAATGCTTATAATGTTGAAAGCTTCTGCTTAGAAGAATGGTTCAGTGTTAGAGATTTAGGAGGAGAGATTTCTTCAAAGCTTAAGGCAAAGCATGGAAACACTGTTTTTTGGACTACAGCTTCCAGCATGCTGGTTGGAGTTTATGGAACATGTGGTCCAAAAGGTAATATTTCCAGGCTATGGTCTAAGAAGACAAGATAAAACAAAGTCTTATTACTTGGAATATTTTCTTAACAAATTGTCTCCTGGGGAAGAAACAGAGACAATCACTTGCAGAATCCAAATTAGATTGGACATATCTGTCAAGTATATTCACCTCTGGCATGGAAGAGACTAGATGGCCCACAGACCTTTTCCATCTCCCCTTCCTAATATTTACATCTTTCCTTTTTGTTATCATTTTCCCCCTAAGTAGTTTGTAACTGAACAAGGCAACATCCGATTTCCTTGACGCTGGCTGGGTATCCTTTCAAAGCTGCAGTTCCTCCTCAAGGCTCGCCTTAGTGAAATTGGCCTTGACAGTCCAACTGCTGTATCCCAAACAGAGAGTTTCCAATGTGCTTTTAAGGCAATAAGATCCCTCGTTCAACTGGGCAAAAATGTTTGAAAAGGGAATTCAGCAAGACAATAGAGGACAGTTTCTTCTAAACAGAGTCTGGGCTTTACAAGGATGAATGCCAAATACGTATCAAATCAAAAGACGGGTGCATTGATAAAGACATGTCCAATTTAAGCCAGAAAATACATTCCTTTTGCTGCACTGCTGTATATAAGAAGTATTCATGTATTTTTTGGTTATTTCAGTGGCCATGAAGGAAAGGAAAGGAGAAGGGAGATGTGGTCTGGAGAGTAACTAGAAGATGGAAAGACATTAACGTGTGTGTGTGTGGGTGGGGGGACTGATTAAGGTGCAAGAAAGAAACCAGGAGGCACTGCCTATGCAAGGAAGCTCATGGAAAACAGTCATAGAGATAATGGCATTTATGCATTCATGTGGCTGTTTGTGATCATTGTCTTTGTGGTGCTGCAGCACAGTGCTTGGAAATGTCTCTTTTTTGGACTACAGTGCCCAGAATCCTCCCCCCCTTCCACCCAACATGGTCACAGGTCTAAAATAACTTATAGCATACATCGTTTCTATGATAAAAATGCTCAAGAATGCTAATAATATATTTTAAAACACTGTACAGTAAAACAATAGTATGAAAGTTGATCTGATTTAAATAACTCTAATAGTCCATAGGCAGATCAACTAATAACATCAGAAATGGTGTGAAAAACAGAGATGAATGAAATGCCAGCCTGGAAATATTAGATTGCACTGTGAAGCAGAAACTAAATATACTTGAATACACTTGAATATACTTGACAGTAACTCAGGTGGCTCACTGCTAAAGACATGACAACAAGAGAAGCCTTCCCACATGCTTGGAATACCCTTGCATGAGGACCTGAACTTGGCAATGTTACTTTGGGGGCTATAATTCCATGAATCCACAGGCAAAAATTAAATAGAATCACTTTTCAAAGCTCTTATCAGGAGACAAGGAAACGTCTTCATCATATCTTTGTGTGGTGATGAGATGGTATGAGAACAGGTGAACCCAAGCCATTTAATATTTCAACTAGGAAACGTATTCCAAAATACAGCAGCTGTTCTAAAATAAGTAGAATGTGTGCACACAATTGCATCCCTTCGAATCCTTGAATTTCGTAGTTTTGGACCAGTTGGAGCTTCTAGAGTTTCAGAGGCATCTCCTCAGTACAGCATGTTACAGTAACCTAGCAATGATTTACTTATTTATTCATTCATTTACTATATTTATATCTTGACTTTCCACTACAAATTAACACTCAAGATGGCTTATGAACTATTTAAATTAACAAAAACAGATAAAATCAGATTCAATTTTTTTAAAAAAAAATCATAAAATCAAGTAAAATGATCCTCCTGTAAGAACCATTAAAATCAAATAAATACATGAAAGCCATTCAAAACAACAAAGCATATAATTAAAAATAACACATTGGGGCAGGTTAAACATCCTGTTTTACTTCATTCTTAAAACTAGTCAGAGTATAAACAAGTTAGTGCTGAAAGGCACAGTCTGGGAGCAACACAGGAGAAGGTCCTCTCCATCTTTCTTTTTAAGTGGGCATCTGAAACTGATGGTATTTTAAAGAGGCTCTCACTTGAAGATGTTATAATCTGGACTGGTTTAAAATTTACTCAAGGTATCTGAAATACAGTGTGTGCGCTGACACCTTTTTCAAATGCTTCTTATGTTGTCAATAATTTGCAGGTCTGGTTTAGTAATCGACGAGCTAGATGGAGGAAGCAAGCTGGAGCAAATCAATTGATGGCTTTCAATCACTTGATTCCAGGCGGATTTCCACCCACTGCCATGCCAACTTTGCCAACATACCAGTTATCTGAATCCTCTTACCAGCCGACTTCTATTCCACAAGGTATAGGCAGAAATCAATTTTTCTCTTAAATGATGCCTTACTGTGCCTTTTCATCCTCTTTAGCCTTTCAGAATAGCAAAACTTTAACAGTAGCGAAGCTCTTAAGGAATGTCTTCATCATGATACATTCCAAGTTCAGTTCCTGGTCAACGGAAGTGAGTTCTGTTGCTCAAGCAAGTCAGTCTCAACACGGAAGATCTCATTTGAACACCCCTTCCAGAGACACCAAATACACCCCTACACACTGTATAAGTGTTTAAAATAGAGTTAACCTAAAGAAGTGATGAAAGAGAAAAGCCACCAAACTTGCAGCCTCTCCACATGTTTACAAACTGAATTTTCATGGCTCTGGATTCTACTGAGAACTGCCATACATAGCACAGAATCTCCTATTCCCCCCCCCCAAGAAAAGCAACGAGGGAAAAAGCAATGAGGGAAGAGAAGGACGCCATTTCTCATACATTCTGGTTAACTCAACTCTGAATAGGACTGAGTCATATATAATGAGGATTCCTTTATTGTAGTTGTGACCCAGCTGTGAAACTAAGGCTGACAATAGTGTTTTGCATTCTGTGGGAGCAATTATTTGTGACTTCAATAAGTACTAACGTGACAGTAGCATGTTGCATGGTATGTTTTCATTTTAATATGGCCCAGTATCCAATTGTTTCACTAATGGAATGGTTTCTGTCAGCACAGAGGAAAGAGGACAGAATAGGGGTACATCACCACTTCCCTTTAGGATGGGGTAACACCCTGTACCACTTCAAGGATTGCTGCCTTGTTGTGGTGAAGGGGCTTGAGTAATTCAGAGAATCTATGGGGCATGCCATGCAGGGACAGCCAAGATAGACAGGTTCTGACTAAACGCAATCCACCTGGAGCAGAAACTGACAAGCCACTCCAGTAACTTTGCCAAGAAAACTCCATGGACAGAAACAAAAGGCTAAAAGATATGATGCTGGATGATGAGCCCCTCAGGTTGGAAGGCATCCAACATGCTACTGAGGAAGAGCGGAGGACAAGTACAAGTAGCTCCAGAGCTAAAGAAGTGGTTGGTCTAAAGCCAAAAGGACACTTAGCTGTGGATGTGTGTGGAAGTGAAAGGAAAGTCTAATGCTGCAAAGAAAAATACTGCACAGGAACCTGGAATATAAGATCTATGACCGTCGGTAAGCTGGATGTGGTCAAACAGGAGATAGCAAGAATAAACATTGATATCCTGGCCGTCAGTGAATTAAAATGGACAGGAATGGGTGAATTCAACTCAGATGATTATCATATCTACTATTGTGGGCAAGAATCCCGTAGAAGGAATGGAGTAGCCCTCATAGTCAACAAAAGAGTGGAAAAAGCTGTACTGGGATACAACCTCAAAAATGATAGAATGATTTCAATACAAATCCAAGGTAGACCTTTCAACATCACAGTAATCCAAGTTTATGCACCAACCACCGATGCTGAAGAGGCTGAAATTGACCAATTCAATGAAGATTTAGAACACCTTCTAGACCTGACACCAAAGAAAGACATTCTTCTCATTATAGGGGACTGGAATGCTAAAGAAGGGAGTCAAAAGATAAAAGGAACAA